AGCGACAAGGAACATCATCAAGATCAAATCCCCACGCAGGTTATCAGCCGTAGGCTCTGCCTACTTACAGCAAAGACTACTTGATCTACCACGACCACAATGAACTCGGGATCGAGTCAGGATACGACAATGACTTTCGGTGCCGACGTGGCAGCGCCAGCAATCGGTGATTCGACTGCTGATGACACCGTGGTGCAGTCCGTTGACAGCTCCACAGAAGATGACAAAGGTCAGTCTTCCGCGCTCGCCATCGCAAAGGCAGTTCCCAAAGCAAAAGCAGAAGGTACCCCAAGGGCATCCACGCCTTCTCGTCCTACATCCTCAGGATCGAGGACGGGCAAGGTCACAGATCGACGTTCCGACACATCTGGTTTTCAGGTGCCAAGGACTCCGTCGAGGACAAAGGACAAAGGGGTAAGGACCATGGAGAAAGTGTCAAGACCGTCATCTTCGAGAAACTCTTCGGCACGATCTAGGACATCAGCAGCAAGGGTACGGGAAAGATCCATGACGTGGAAGAAAATGGTTACGAACCATCCCAATGACGCTGATGACGCGGACATGACCCTCGATACGATTCCGGTGCGAGGTGATGCATCATCGGTGGCTACCCCGGCTATAGCTGATGGTCCGAGCATTTATCAGGAGATGACAGCGCAACAGCAAGTCGAAGCCTCGAACCTTGCACAGCAGATGTATTATCGAAGTGAAGTGCAGGAGTACGAGAGCGTCGTGAAGAACCTGGTGGAGAAGATCAGGGAGGTGCAACAAGAAGATGAAGGATCTGGAATTCGCATCGAAGAATTGGAACGACAACGTGACCACGCATGCTTGGCTATGCGGCATATCAACAATGTCAATCAGGAGATGAAGCGTGACTATGAAGCAGCGTTATTCCGCATGGATGAACAGAACTCTGCTCAACAGCGCCAAGGGCACGCTATCGCCGAGGAGTTGGCTCAGCAACTGCATGTGTTTCGTACGGAAGCAGCTGCAAACTTTGTGCAGCTGGAGGCACGAGCACAAGGTGATGGAGAACTCATGGCACGTGAGTATGAACATCTGACCCAGGAACTTCATGAACAAGCCAGGGAGAATTTGTTCCTCCGATCGAGCACGGCTAGCTCAGAGCAAGCCATGCACGCCATGCAGGAGCGATTCATCCTTGCCAGGAATCAGGAATTGCGAGTCATGAATGAGATCCAAGGACTGGCTGGAAATCAAGCGGCCATTGATCATGAACGGCATCGACTTCGCGAATGTCTTGGCGAAGAGGAAGAATTTCGCAGAATGGCAGTGAAGAGGATGCAAGACGCAGAGGGTCAACTTCAACAGCATGAAGATCAGGCAAGACAGGCGTTGCCAACCTTGCATGATGAGCTGAATGAACTCAGGAAAGCGCTGAACGCGCAAGAAGATCTTCAATCAAGGACACGCAGTGAGCTTGAAGCGGCACGAAGTTCTAACCTGTACCTTGGATCTTTTCGCCCACCAAGCGGACCCATGTCCTCGAGAACAGCTGAGTCTGGCTGGGAACACGTAAGAAAGGAGGTAGTGCCTGCATTTTCCGTAGGAGTTGAGGTACGATCCCCTGAAATACGGTCTCCTAGTCAGGTTAGTCCAGTCGCCAGAGGAAAGTTCGCATTCTCCGAGTCGAACAGAGACAAGATCCTTGCTCCGAATGACGCGAGGAGCACGGGCGAAGGCAACTTGAACGTCAATGTGAAAGGGGAGGACCATGTGATCCAAGGGACAACATCGATTGTGGCGGATACTGTACCTGCGCACCACGTGCCTGGTACCAGCAATCCAGCACTTGAGCGTTCCACGCCTAGTGCGGCCATGTTATTCGGTATCCCGAGCGAGCCTGCCCGTAAGCAGACTGATGCAAAAGCCGTACGTGACCGACAATTGCACGAACTTCTAGAAGATCGCGGGATGTTGGGAGGAAATTCCACAGCGCCTGCCAGCTCTTCTAGACCTGTCGGTGTGCTTGCATCGATAAAGGGCTTCAATTCCAATTCAGTTCAAAGGCCTACATCCATGAACTTTGACAGTTCGATTCAGGATGCAAGAAAGCGTCAAATCGAGAAAGAGATTGCAGAACAATATGAGGAGAAGCTCGCTGAGTTGCGAAGTGAAGTCCTCAAGGCTCAGAAAGCCGAACAACGTCTCCGAGCTGACCGTGACGAGTGGAAGTTCATGGCTGAAACATTGCAGGAAGACGAAGGAGACGGTGACGGTGACGGAGATAGTGACGAACGCGAGGACGAAGGGCAGGGAGATAGTGCCGGTGCAGGGTATGATCCACCTGATCCGCCGACACATACGTCCACTGCAAAACGCCATTGCTAAATGTGCGGGTGAAACCTACTCCTTGGGCGCACGCGGCCCTCTTCACCGGCTCCTGATGGGCCACACCGCGTGCCCGCGCTTTCGCATAGGCTTTGAACAGTCACTTCACGTACTTACCACCTTGAACCGTGAGGTACGGGATTGC